ATTACAGAATTTCTGAGTTTTTTCCAGTATATGATTGGACGTAAAGTTATTGAATTTCTAAGCATACATTGATTGGACTAGATAATCGCATGGACCTGCATATGCCCCTATAATTGGTGTCTAATTGGACATGTGAGACGGAACGAGAATGATATTCAATGGGAGCAATTAGTAAATTCAACAAATGATCCGATATAGGTTATATGCATAGTCGCCCTAGGTTTATCCGACCGACTCGGGCCGTTCCAGTTTCATACCTAGGCTTGGGTAATTACAGCATTTCCTAGTTTACTCCAGTATATGATTGGACGTAAAGTTATTGAATTAATACGTATACGTTGATTGACTAGATATTCGCATGACCTGGCCCCTTTAATTAGTGTCGATTTAGTGTCGATGTAGACATGTGAGACGGAACCAGAACGACATTCATTGGTGCTTATTTACAAATGTCTAGTTAGGCATTGTTAATCTGTTTATTCCAATTACGATTAATAATCACAATTAACAACGTGTTTGATAATGAATCCTCTTTATTTGCCTACTTTTATTTCATTTACATTAAATTCTTTCCATTAAAATCTTTACACTGGAAATAATACAACTCTCACGTAAGTAAAAACATAATTCTATTAAAAAATACAAATACTATTAAAACATAAAAAAAAAACCCTAATCCATTTAATATGTCATGTAAGTAGTAACACTTTGTAGGTCTGCGTGTATGACTATGTATGGCCAATTGACCATATTGGTATATAAGTTAACACCCTTATGACATATTGGTATATAAGTTATTGCCGGCGACATATTGGTATAAAAATTAACATGTGGCGACATATTGGTATATAAATTAACAAATTGTGACATTTACCCCTATTTTTTCTTCGGATGAAAGAGCGTGTTGTATACTTCAAAAATTTGTTTTAATTACTTTTGCAATCTTATTTATTATCATAATATACTTATTCAACACCAAATAATAATTTTTCCCTCTTCCCTTCCAATACAATAACTTTGATAAATCAATCAAACGATAAAACCCCAAAGAACTAATAAACAATAAACAAAATCTCAATATTAGTTATTTAATTTCAAGACCAATTACTAGTAGACGCTAACTTTCATTATTACTTCATTTGTTTAATTATACCCACAACTTTGTAAATCAACAATATAATAAGAATATATATATATATATATATATATATATATATATATATGAGTTTTTTTTTTTTTAAAAAAAAGAAGAATCTACCCTTGTGATGCTTCAATGACCAACGCCCTCAATACATTCAAGTTTATATCCCTTTGCTCAAGCTTTCCTATTCGTTTTCCCCTAGCTTCTTTTCATCACTTTTGGGCTTTCAACTTTTTTTTGTTTTTTTGGGATTTTTACTTCATAATTTTTTTAAATTAATATAAAAAGTAGAGAAAAGTACAAAAAAACAAAATGTCAAATAAAAGTTATTAGCACTAAAATTAAGCGCATGTATCATACGCATATCCTCCGACGAGAAAATAGGGGTAAATGTCGCAATTTGTTGACTTATATACCAATATGTCGCCACATGTTAATTTTTATACCAATATGTCGCCGACAATAACTTTTATACCAATCTGTCATAAGGGTGTTAACTTTTATACCAATATGGTCAATTTGGCCGACTATGTATGACTATATTAGGAATTGACATCCACTTTTCGCATGGAAAACATGTCAATGTCAGACATATTCGAAAGTGTACAAAGCCATAGAAAAGATGTCAATGTCAGACCGATTCGAAAGTGTACAAAACGCAGTATAGACATATTCGAAATTGGACAAAATCGATAGTTCTCACTAGCAGACGAAGGAAGCATGGGTTCACATATATTCATGTAATCACTAGTTAGGTAATTAAATCTTTGAACTTTTTCTGATGCATGATCCTTGTTGAGTGGTGTGAATAAAAGATATTCAACATAGTCAACCCATACGAATGTTGTAACTTGAAATAAAGGTTCCAAAGAAGCAATAGATGAGAATATGTGGGAGTGTAAAATTTAATTATTACTCGTAGTACAAATTCAATTATTCTAGTTGGTATCTACCGTCTTGCGTACTAAGAATTAAATTTGACGGTTCTAAACAAAATTATTGTGTCGTTTAGGCTAAATATACAAGTTGACAGTTCATATAGGCTAAATTTATATAGGGTAGTGATGAAAAAAATGCCAAATATCAATACTTGTAAATATAAATGCCAAAATATAATTACTTCTAAAAAAAAAAGTTCCAAGAAATTTGAATGTGAGTATGTTGTTAGAAAATAAGCGAATATATAAAAGCCGTTTTATCGAAATACATAAAAAATACAAAATCATATACTTATGGTTAAGTTCGCAAAAAAAATTTAGTCCCTGCTCACTTCACCTTAAAATGACAATAAGTCCAATTTAGTTAAAGTAATTTCAAGGCTATGCTAATTTATTATATTTAGTTATGACAAAATTAAAGGTTAAATAATTGATTGACAAGCTGTCTAATTATTAAACTCAAACAAGAGTGATAAATATATATTTCATATAACAATATATTAATTTTGGGGGCCCTTTCAATTATGAGCTTTTTGTGATCTACAGTTGCTCTGAATCACCCCTATATTCTTGTAAAAAATAAATAAAATAAAATAAATAGAATCACCCCTATACATATTAATCTAATTATTATTATGTAAAATGTAATTGAATAAGATATTGTTTGGGCTAGAGAAGAATCTAAAAATTGGCCCTTAATTAGTAATAGAAAATACTCCCTTTATTTCAAAAAGATCTTCTCACTTGAACTCTTGGCACTATTTATAATATGAAAGAATATTTACTTTAACTTAGTCATGTTGGGTCTTGTATAATTGTCGCAATAAGTAGTTTATTAATATTCAATTATTATGTAAAAGTAATGCATTGACAAACGTGTATAGTTAAAGTAAGAAGATCAACTTGTAACGGATTTGAGTATTAAGAATCGGAGGGGTGAACATGCCCTAAGTGGTTCAAAAATATTCAGTTCAGTTCCCAGCCACTAATTTACCAAAATGTGTTAAAAGGGTAAATTATAAAATGTGTTGATAATTGAGAATTAATTTATTATTCCACTTATCAAACATAATTTTTAATACCAAGCGGTTTTAAGATTATCCCAAACAGCCATTATTTAAAATGTGACACTTCGAAGATGGTCCAAATGAAAACTCCGAAAATGTAGATATTAAATTTGTTTGCAAATTCTAGTTGAATATTATGTGATAGGGTTGCTCACGAGCTTACCGAGTCGAGTAAAACCGCTCTCAACTCGTGCTCGTTAACATCTCGACGGGAATCGAATTCAAGTCGAGCTAACTCGAGTCAAGAGTGGACCGAGCGTTGACCGAGTCAGGTACGAGTTATAGCAAAAGCACCTCAAAAGTCAATTATCAAACCTTATAGAAACCCTATTTTGCAGCTAGTTCACCTGCTATATAAATAATCAATTCCGCACACTCATTTAGCATACATCCAAACCTACTAAGTGACACTCAATTAACATAACAATGAAGGTTTCCTCTACTCCCACCCGTTCCAATGTTGGAGGGTCAACCAAATTGAAAATCAAAAACTCAAACAAGAAAAATCCCTTATATCTCCCATTGCAAAATCCTCGTTGAAAATCACAAACTCAAACAAGAAAACATCCCAGTCATCTCCCCTTTTAACAACTAATCTTAGGAAGAATGCCTTTGAGGCAATTCACAATGAGTTTCCTGGCTACATCCTAGCGCCATGGTCCAATATGGGAAACATCAATGGAAATTCTAGCAAACACAAAGCTGATGTTGTTGTCGATCTAGATGGCATCCCAAATGAAGTTGACTTTGATAACAAAAAAAAAGGCAGCGTTGATGTAATCAGCCTCGATGATGGACCCAAGCAAAAGCCCTTCTCTGTAGGTTATGTGCACTACGTGGTTGTGTCTAGCAACACATCGGACGAGCTAGGTGTGATGTATGCCATGAAGGGCAACCAGAGCTTCAAAGACATATACAAGGACTATGCTGAAAAAGTAGATTGTCGTGTGAAGGACATGGTCTTGACGAATAGGAGGACCGGAGTTGTAATCTCGCCAAATGACATCGCCAAGTATGTTGGGCTTAGGCATGGTGACATGCTTGTGGCCAATCACAAGGTAATATATCAATTTTTAAAAAATCTCAGCATGTAAAACAATACCATTGTTGCTTTTCACCTCTTTGTTGTAATTGGTTAAGAGATAAGAAATGTTTTAACAAATTTTGTTTTCCAGAATCCGGATGCTAACATGAACACTAGGATCAAGGTGTTCTACATAGCCCCAATGAATAACAAGCCAAAGAAAGTCAGAGTTGATGGTCGCCTCGACACCTATCTTGCTAACCTGTACCATTTATGGGGTTACTACCTTTAATCATGACCCAAAAACAATCATGCTAATCAATCAAAGCCGGGTTTTAAATCCGAGGGAGACTATTGAGTCTGCTAAAATCCGCAACAACGGGGTTGTATATGCCCTACCTAAGGTCCGTTTCCATAGGAACCCTCGTATTACCAACTGAGGTTCGACTCTATGGCAGACTCTGGAGTAGTTTATGGTATATCAATTGTGTTGGAACTAGTTGGTGTAGAGTTAGATATGTTGTGTACTATTCATTATGGCGTTGAATAGAAAATTAGAGATGTTATGTGACTAGAACTAGTAGTAATGAATATTATGTATTAAGTAGCACAAACGCAAGCAATGTGAGTGTCTCAAAATTACATATTAAGTAGTAAATAGTAGTAATGAAGGCGTGTCTGCCAATTTAAGTATGTTTAGTATGGACCTTGTGATAATGTAAGTGTTATTGTGTGTTGTGTTATTTTTTTTTATTATAACAATCTCTAGAGCAGCGATAACATCCAAACAATAATTACAATACAATAAGTTGATTTACTAATAAGTAATAATAACATGAGTCCAAGGATCATGTATTCAAATTACAAAATCAAAATTCAATGATCCATAGAGTCATATAATTGCAACTATACAAGTACTAATTAGAGTTAGAGTTACTAAATACTAATGATAACTTGTCCTAGGATCATGAATTCAAAATAGACAACAAAAAGTCAGTGATCCTTAGTCATATAATTGCAACTAGACAAGTAATGGCCCCAAACCGCAACAACATCAATTTGCTATCTAACTTGAAATACTCATGTGAATGAAATGTTGAATTGCGGTGGTTCCAGACCTTCTAATTCAACAAGAATCTTTTCACCGAGTTCAATCTCTTCACCAGCTACCATTTCCGGAACTCCTTTACGGATGGTGCAAGCTACAATCTTCTTCTTGTCAAACTTAAATCGCATTGTTGCATGCCATTTCTGATGGACATACAGTTCAACAACAGTGGGATTTTTAAGACCTTGGAAATGTTCTCGGGAAAATGGTACCGGAATGTTCTGTACCACATTCAACATCAAAGTAAAAAGATATAAGAATTGTACACCGAGAAATAACATATGATAAACAAAACTAGTAAAATATCATAAACATTATTAAATAACTTATGATTAAACAAAATAATAACACAACCAAGATAAAAAGTTCTATGAACTCACGATACTAGGTTTGTCGATGTAACCTTTGGTGAATGTGAATTTGAAGGACGGAGGCTTAAAAAAAACCTCCGTGGGCACAAACTCTGATGCGTCGGCTTCAGTAATTATACCGTCAATCTCTATGATTACACGAGGATCTACAACTGTAAATTCTTTTCTGGAACGCCAAATCCTAACCCTATATAGCATTTCCTCCTCGTCCTCTAAAAGTAACTCAATGTGGTCGAGAATGCGTAACTTGTTAGAGGTGACAAACTGACTCCAGCCTCCACCTAAAAAACTCTCGAACTTCCCAGGACTGTTAAAGACATGTCCTAATCGTATTGGGTACACTTTGTTCTTAGTACCGCGGTGAAGGCGTATCACACCTTTGGCTTCATCGTTCTTAGCCCATATTTCTTGCAGTTCCCTGTTCATTCGGTGTGGAATAGGCTGCATTTATATTTGCCCGAGTTTAGTATTAGCAATGTGCAAGGGTAAAATGAAATATTCAATACAATAAACTTATAAATGCATGGCAAGCTCACCACAATTTCAAGCAATCGATGAGTATCGATTGTGAATTCAAATGTCCAAGCTGACATTCCTTTCCTATAGCACTTTCATTATGTAGATCCATAACAAAAGGACAAACATTATTGAGCTTATAATGTAATCGGAATTGAATTTCAATAAGCCACATAATACAATCATGAAAGAGATACTTAATATGGACTATGGAGTGCATATAGATAAAAATATCATAAAGCAATTAATATGTCACACCTGCACTATTATTATCAACCCAACAAGACTAACTTGCTCTTTTTCCTGACATATGACTAATTCATACCTTTCACTGGCATATTCAAAGTGGTATGAACTCTAAGTCTCTAAGAGTCTGGAAACTCACTTCCTATTGCGCTATGTTTGTCAGAATTTAGACTTTGTAACTTTGGTTGTAGATCTAAAACATTAACAACCCTTTCTTACTCGTTTACATGGACTTAAGGCCAGGCTTACTAAAAGATGATAAATACAATATGAGTAACACAAACACACGCAACCCAAAACCAGCGAAAAACAGAGTAAATAGTAAACCCCCCCCCCCCCCCCAACCCCCAATTTGCAATGAGACAACAGATTAGTGCACTAACTTTGCAAAATTCGAAAATCAATTGACAAATCTAATGGTATACCAAGTTGCATGTATAGATAAAGCAATTTCGAACAAGAGACCAACCCTCACTAACTATATAGACATATAAACCAACATAATTATCAAAATTCAACTTGAATTATGCTATCAAATACCATAATTATACAATCTAGGTACAACCGCTAAGGAAGTGAAAGGTAAGGTAAGGGATACATACCTGGTCGGAGCTAGTAGTATTCGAATCGTCGGCTAAATGGGAAGTGTAGAAGGTGCTCTGGTAGCTAGAGAATGTAATAACACCGGGTGGGAGTTCAGTCTGGCAGTTCGGTTTGACCTCGGTTTGAGTCGGTTTCGGTTTGGAGCGGTTCGGATTGAAACGGTTTAGTTTAGCAGGCGGGTCGGTTTGGTTCGGTTTGGGTTAGTCACGGCTCGGTTTGGTTTCGGTTTATTTCTTTGCGGTTTAAATTCGGTTTGGGTCATAAGCGGGTCGGTTTATAAACGATTCGGATTATGTCGGTTCGGTTTGATACGGGTCGGTTTAAGGGGCGGGTTTACCCGGGTCAATGTCAGTTCGGTTTACAAACGGTTTGGATCAAGCCGGTTTGGTTTGAAATGGGTCGGTTTAGGGGCGGATTTACCCGGGTCAATATCGGTTCGGTTTATAAACGGTGCGAATCATGTCGGTTCAGTTTGAAATGGGCCGGTTTAGTAGAGGGTTTACACAGTTCAATTGGTTCGGTTTATGAACGGTTTGGATCATGTCGGTTCGGTTTATAAGCGGTTTGGGTCATGAATTGAATTCATGATTGTTTTAAAGATCGCGTCATGACCATGATTTAATGAGTTGATACTTATAATACGATAAATCGATAATTAAGAATGTACAAGTATTCAATTAGATTGATCAACAAGTGTTTTAAACTTTTAAGTTTTAATGATCAGATATGTAAATAACTAAATATGTTTATCGATTATAGTACATACCAATAATTCAATGAGGCAATGATACTTATGATAGTATGATAATGATACCAACCGTACATTCGTACGATATGATATACATCATATACATAATAATATAATTACATATACATTAACAATATCTTATTGAATCAATTTCCATTTCCAAACATTGCATTTCTTATAAATTATAACTTACACGAGATTAAATGGATTCGTTATTTAGTTTGTTACTTTATTTAGATTACTAACTCAAACAACTTAATAAGTTAAATGGACGAAATCACGAAATCATGACCATGATTTAATGAGTTGATACTTATAATACGATAAATCGATAATTAAGAATGTACAAGTATTCAATTAGATTGATCAACAAGTGTTTTAAACTTTTAAGTTTTAATGATCAGATATGTAAATAACTAAATATGTTTATCGATTAGTACATACCAATAATTCAATGAGGCAATGATACTTATGATAGTATGATAATGATACCAACCGTACATTCGTACGATATGATATACATCATATACATAATAATATAATTACATATACATTAACAATATCTTATTGAATCAATTTCCATTTCCAAACATTGCATTTCTTATAAATTATAACTTACACGAGATTAAATGGATTCGTTATTTAGTTTGTTACTTTATTTAGATTACTAACTCAAATAACTTAATAAGTTAAATGGACGAAATCACGAAATCACTAATTAAAGTGGTGATGAAAGCATTATGCAATACTAATGTTAGTAATGTACGAATAGTCAAATATACAACGGTTAGATTGAATGCCCATGAAAAACAATGGTTAGATTTTCATTACTTTATTAGTTATTAGTATTATTACTTATTAAGTTATTATTAGTTTTATAGTTTATTATATATACTGATATACAATCACAGACTCACAGATGTCAGATATTGTCACATTGATGAGCATTAAGCCATTAACTCATTAAGTCATTAACTATGTCGTATTGAATCAATTTCAATTTTGAAACATTTGCGTTTCTTACAATTTATAACTTATAAGTAATAAACTAATAATAATAATAATAATAATAATAATATAATAGTAGTAGTAAACTAGTAATAATAATAATATTAACAAATAATTATACTAACAATAATAATAATAACAATAATAATAATAAATAATTAAAAAAAACGGTCAAAAAGACCTAGAAAAACACAAAGAAAATCTAGACCGTTAGATCTAGATGAATATTCTAGAATCTACAAAAAAAAAAAAAATGAACGGTTAGATCTAACTTAGATGTTGAGATTGAATATGGACGGTTAGATCAACTGAAGTAAAACCTAAACCTCATTCACTCATTCAGCCATTTCTCACTCTCACTCTCTCTGCCATTCTCATTCACTCATTCAGCCGTTTCTCTCTCTGTCATAGTTTCTCTCTCTAACTTCTCAGTTTCTCACTCTTTCGTTCTGAAATTCTCAAGCTCAATTTCGTTTCATTTGTGTTTTAGATCTACATTTCTGATTTCTAGCTTTACATTCTCGTTTTTTTGTTAATTTTTGTTGTTTTCGTTTTGATTTTTTTCGTTTTTGTTCCGGTTTGTTAATATAGGGTTTTTGTTTTCGTTTCATTTGTGTTTTGGATCTATATTTCTGATTTCTCGCTTTACATTCTCGTTTTTTTGTTAATTTTTGTTGTTTTCGTTTTGATTTTTTTCGTTTTTGTTTCGGTTTGTTTATTTAGGGTTTTTGTTTTCGTTTCATTTTTGTTTTGGATCTAAGTTCTGATTTCTGATTTCAAATCTTCCTCTCCTTCAAGCCGTCAAACCCTAAGGTAATTTTTTTGTTAATTTATTCGTTTTTTTCGTTTTCGTTTCGGTTTTTTTTTTAATTTCAAGTTCTGATAAATTCTTGATTTTTTCTTTTGATCTCCAGTTCAGGTAAGTTCTCCATCTTCAAATCTCCTTCAAGCCGTCAAAGGTAATTACTTTTTCCTTTTCGTTTTTTTTTTAATACAGTTTTTCTGTTTTTGTATTTGAATAATTTGATTATTGTTGTTGTTCTTGCTTGAATATAGTCGAAATATGCCTAAAATGAGTAAAATCTGTTGTTGATTGTATTTTTGTTTTTTACGGGAAAATGGTAGATTTGTGCCTAAAATGAGTAATCACGTTTGTTGTATAATTCTGAATTTTGAAACATTGACTAGTGCAAATGAAATTCTGTTATCAAGCGGATGTTGAGGAAGACGTCCTCCTTATTGGTAAAGAGATTAAAGCCGAAAGTGCTTCATCTGCATAACTGGTATTTGTGTCTCATTGTGGTTTATTTTATCTTGAAAAATCGTTGCCCTTGTCATTTATTTTCAGACTTGCTGGCAGCATTTTTCTAGACTTTTAAAATCGTTGCCCTTGTCATTTATTTTCAGACTTGCTGGCAGCATTTCTTAAGTTTTTGTTAAAATAACCATTGCTCGGTGATGTAAATCTGAGAGCAATTTTAAAAAACAAAAGCTATAATTTTGAAGTTGCTTGAACTTGTTATGAGCTGCTGCCTGCTGGTAGTGCTTTTGCCTTTTGGTTGTTGTCTCTGCTGAGTTGTTATTGCCTATATTGTTGCCTGCATGAGCTGGTTCCTGCCTCCTGCCAGCTTGAGGTGCTGTGTTGCTGCCTTTTGTGTTATGAATTTATGATAAGTTTTGTTGCTGCCGTTTCTTATGCTTGCTGTTTTAATTTTTCTTGAATCATCGTTGCCCTTGTCATTTATGTTGAGACTTCAATGTATATGTACTTGCTGGCAGCATTTTTCAAGTTTTAAGTTAAAACAGCCATTGCTCAGTGATGATACGATAAACGTAAATCTGAGAGCAATTTTGAAAAACAAAAATAAGTTCCTCCCAAATCTGTGCGGGTTCCTGCTTGTTGCTGCTATTTCCTCTGCTCTTGGTTGCTGTGCTGCTGCTTCAAGATTCTGTTTCAAGATTCTGCTCCCAAATCACTCACATTCTCACTCCTCCCTTCATCTTATCATGTATCATTTTTTCAGTTGATAAATCTGAAATCTAATCTTGGTAGTAGTGATAGTAGTTTCATTATGTATTGCCGTATTGGTATATGTATTGTGAATTTTAATCAATGAAAATGGTGACTTTTTTTAATTGCTTGTTGATATTACTCTAATTTTAATGTTATTTATCTCCAATCTTATGTTATCTTATTGGATGATCATGAATATCAAGGAACAATGAAGATAATTTGGGTGGACTTTATTACTGGAATGAAAAGATACAAATGATATATCTTGTAATTAAAATAAATAAGTAATCTAAAATGATATTAATAATGCCGTTGGCCTAGATCTAGGTGATATAAACCTTTGTATAAACCTAAGCCGTTTGATTAGATCTTATTAACATTAATTATTTTATTGTATTTACTACTTAGCCATTTAGGTTGTAAATAATTCAATTTGAATTAAGCAGTTTGTAATCGGATAAGTTTAAACAGGTTGCGATTCGAAAACAGTTCGATTTTAACGGTTTAACGGGTTATGGCAGTTTAGTTTAGACGGTTAGCGGATTATAACGGTTCGGTTTATACGTGCGGTTTAAACGGTTTTGGTTCATAAACGGGTCGGTTTAAACGGTTAGCGGGTTACAAATGGTTCGTTTTAAACGGTTTTTTTTTTTCGGTTTAAACGGTTTCGGTTTATAAACGGTTCGGGTCATTAACGGGTTTATAAACCATTCGGTTCGGTTTCGTTTCGGTTCGGATTTGCGCAGTTTGGTTTGTTATCGGTTTACGGTCCGTAACGGGTTGACATTGAGCGGTTCAATTCGGTTTCGGTTTGATATTGAACGGTTCAGTTCGGTTTTCGGTTTACATTTATCGGTTTATAAACAGATCGGTCCGTGATGGTTCGGTTCGGTAACGGGCGGTTTCACGGTTCGGTTTGATATTTGGGTGGAGTTAGGGTTTAAAGTGAATTTGCAAAAGTAATAAAGAAAATTGCAATATATCATAATTATAAAATTGGAACTTACTAGTGTAATGTAACTGACAAAATGCTTAACGTAAATAGTGTACCATTAAATAATAATAAGGTGCATATTTAATCCTGTAAAATGTTATAACAAAGTAATAGCTCTTTTAAGGATATAATTTACAAATAATACTAGATAAAAAAAAAATCATTCAAATAAATATATACGGCGTATCATATATATGTTCCTCATATGATATAAATTCATTGTCATTTTGAAGAAGAGTAAAAACTTAAGCAAACTATGCATTACGGGGTACCCTTTAACCGAGAATACCCTATAGCCAGATAGTCTCTCATTTCTCGATCTAG